TTTAATTAATTGATTGTCTTGGATCCGGATAATTAGTTAATCTGATAATCTATTGTTAATTGGGACGTTAAATCCGTAATTGTTTAATTGTCTCAAAATAGTGATAACTGGCATGATTGGGTTTGTGTCAGGGAAATACGTGTGCTAATCTGAAATAACCCTGGTAGTGTGTTATTTGGTTAGAATAGGGCTCCTCTAATACGTAAGACAATTGAGGGATTAAATCTTATGGGCATATCTAGGATTATTTCTCAATTAGAGCAGTGATTAACGGGTGTACCTTGATCACCGACACAGTAAGGAGGGGTTGACTGTCATCACTTGTTTGGCAATTATAACCTATTTATTAATAGATAATTGAAATTGCATGTGCATCGATGATCAATTAGGTGAACCATTGCTGAAGTTATTCCTTGACTAGATTCTTAATTATCACTTGTTTGATTTTAGTAAATTGTTATTTAATTTCTAGTTGGCTATTTTATTTTTATTATTTTACTTTTAGTTGAAATGCTTAAATTGTCACCCCTGATATAAAAATACCCCCTTGTCACTGTGAATTTGGAAAGAAGCAATTACACCCAGTCCCTGTGGATTCGACCCTACTTACCACTATCTACAGAAATTATTTCTAGTTTGAGTAGATTTTTATTATTGCACAGGCTGACACCCTGTCAAGCAGTGAAAACCAAAGGAAGTCTCCTAATATAAGTACACACATGAATTTTGAAGACCACCTCAACCGTCATTAATTAAACCCGAGAGGGGAACTAGTTGACATGAGAGCGAATCTGGAAGCTTGGCTGGCTCACGGCTGTGGTCCTATTCTCATTTTTACTTCCGCCACCAGCTTGGAAAGTCATTCACGATCACGACTGCAATCCACCAACCTGCTATCAATATAGTCATACTCCAAAAAAATCGGCATCTGCTCTTTTCCAGTTCCAAAAAATATTCTCAACTACATTTCCTATATCCATTACTTGCTCTACACTTCTTCCTACTAGCCCAAGTGTAAAATTAGGCATGAAAATAAAACATGTTTATCAAAATTAAGGACCTTCCTTATACTTTCTGCCTGTTTCAACCTAAAACCTAAGAAGAACAAATAATTCATTAGACAGAAATGCTTTTCCAATTTCTAGCTTAATGACCCAACTTGTCAACAATACTGTTGATAGTATCTGAAGCTTTGTCCAAAATTTCCTGCTCCACTTTAGAATGTTCCAATCCATCCCTTAAAGTCTTCAACTGGTCCTTGGATGACGCGTCAAACAAAAGGCTAAAAGAACCTTTAAGCAGCATACCACCGGTGTATAGTCCTCCCAGCACAGTGCAACGAATCAAGAAGCTCTCCACTTCATCCAATTTAACCAACTTGACATGCAAACGTGAAAAAGCGGTTCGCAACATGCCTATTAAACATAAATCAAACAATTTAGAAAATGAGTAGATTCTTGGAACTCAACTTGCAATTAAAAATAATTAATCATCTCCTAAGTCATTTTATCCCATCTTGGTCCGTCAAAATAGATACTAAAAATAGATTCTTGGTCCGTCAAAACCTTTATCCCGTCTTGCTGGTTACTACTCAAATACTAGGAGTATAGCAGCACTATTACAAACTCGGTTCAACAGTATCACAGCTCAAATCAGCACAAACAAACTCCTCAAACAATATAGTAAACATCTATAGTAAAAGTTTTTCGTACACACTCCTACAATAAAATATTTTAAAAATATCCCCAAAAACAGCTAATGCACTCGGAGCAGTCAAACTCAGAAGTTATTTAGTTACTGTACACGTTTGCTACTACCCTACCCTGAAACAGCATCTCCCTGCAAAAGTAACCTACACAAGCATCATTCCCGCAGAAGCTTTCCCAGTCAAACTTGGAAGGAAAGCAGAGGAAACCAACAATCAAAATTCCCAAGTCCCTTGCCCTATAAGCTGTATGTACAATTCACGCAGTAACCCAAATAAAATAGGTCAAGAGCCTTCTACTGGATCAAGAAATGCAATAGTAGCTTTACGGAACATCAAAGATCTTTTGGCTGCTGAACATACAAATCAGACAAGACACCAGAAGGAAAAGTACCAAATTGTGGAATGCTGTAATAACACAAGATAGAAACGTCAACTTTGCATTTGCATGAACTGCTTTCAAGGAGGGAAAGAAACCCATTAACAAGTGTGGTTGTCAGTGTTGCAAAAGCTAAACCCTTTTATACAAAATACTACATAAAGTGATAATAAATTAGTTCAATTCATGGTTTCATTTTCCAAAGTCCAATAATGAAAATTCATAAAATATCCTCAAACTTTCCTCTAGGCAGCTTTAAGGTCCATCTTCTTTGCCCTCGAGTTCCACTCCAACATTCCTTAATAAAAAACCAAAATGCTTAACTAGGAGCTTAGGAAAGCCATTAACCAACATTAATAAAGATAGACGACATCAACCAACCACCACTCAAAGATTACCCAAAAGTGCACTAGAAAGAAACTTGAATTCTAACAGAGCAGAAACTAGGTAGGACTTCATCCTATTTATGAATGTGTTTTCTGTGCTCCACTTTCAAACATGGTAAGAGCAAAGGATATCACTGAATAAATTAAAGTGAAATTTTGCTTTATTATGTATTATAACACCTTCAAATGTATACCAGGTGAGATAAGCAAGGAAGGTAAAGTTGGGTGCTTAATAGGGAGGGTGAAACACTTGTTATAAAATGTGGCCTTCATTTTGGTGGCACTAGAAGTTGGGAAGAGGTGGAAGGCTAGTCTTTTTTCTTCCACTTCATTTCATCATTGCTGTTCACCTAATATATTTGGAATGTGTTTGGATGGGAGTGTGTTTCAAAAATTAGTTTTTCAAATACAATAAAATTTTTTAAAAAGTACTCTAAAAGATAATCTAAAAATTAGTTTAAATTTTTTTAAAATTTTAAAAAATTTTAAAAAATATCTCAAAATATATTCTAGAAACTCTTCTTTTCTTAAATATCCTAAAATATTTTCTAAAAATATTCCAAAATATAATCTAAAAACTCTGCTACAGCAAATTTTTTCAAAAATACCCCCAAAAATAACTAATCCAAACGGAGGATTATTCGTATAATTTAGGGCACATAAAAGTATAGTTAAAAAAATGAGATTTTGTAGCAATAGGTCAATATATAATAAAAACATCCCCATTATTTATAAACTACAACATTGATGGAAGTTAAATCTTGAAAAAAAGTAGAAATCTATATCATAAATTGAGCGACATAAGGGTTCAATTAAATGTAACTGAATATTTAATTTGATAAGTAAATGAAATACTTACAAATATGTTGCCTTCGATTTGATAATCTTTTATGAAGGTGGGAACATTCTTCACACCAATCAACTCCGAGTACAAATACCAATATTGTGGGTTTAATTAATTCTGTTGAATTTTGTGAAATTCGTACTATAAATGAGAATGCACGATTTTTGCATGAATTAATGTGTTGGTCAAACAATGTACCGCCATTTTTCTAAAAATTAAAAGCATACGGGATTTAGAATTATCATTTGTTTTAGAAAGTTTGTAAATAATATTGTATAAACATATATACGTATAAATAATTTATACCTTTGCTTTTAAATCTCTACGATAAGAAGCATCACAATAAAATATGAATCGTGCATGCCTGTCTTGAAGAGCGAGATATAGATTAGCATTGGAATCTCTAACTTGTATGCTAATATTGTATCTGTTAAGAAGAAATTGTGATATATAATTAAAAAATGTAATTAAAATTAAAGACATATGAAAATAATTACCTAACAATAGTGTGGACTACGTCATTATAATGGATACACGCCATTTTTGAAAAATGAGATTGACATGGTTTTCCATAATTTTTGCATAACTTATGGAACATATTTTCTATGTTAATGTTTTGAATGTAAGCATGTATCCGAAAATATTTAACTTAAAACCATTCAAAAAATGTATAGATTACAATTATTAATTCAAAATAATATGTAGATAATTGTTAATTAATTAATTAATTGAGAGAATTTTTACCGTAGGTGTGACTGCAAATGTTTCCTCCTTTACAATCTGGTGAGTTTGAAATTTAGGTGTTGGTGAAAGAGATGGTCAATTGCAATTTTTGGTAAAATTATGTTCTTATCTCTTGTTATTGGAATGGAGGAGTTTTAATAGAAAAATGGAATTGCTAATTGGAGGAGTATTAATTGAAGTGGGAAGGTGTGTGAAAGGAAGAGTGTTTGTTGGAGTGAAATTCTTATTTGATAGAAACGTGGTAGTGTGTTTCAAACACAGATCTGATGTATTTTATGAAATAAATTAAATGTAAAATGCTAGAAAAATGGAATTGAGAGTGGGAAGGTGTGTGGAGGCTTGTTACTAAAATTCCCTTCTCAAATTTATATAGATATAGATAAGTTCTGAAAATTTCTGATTTTGGCAGTTGATAAGTTACTCGCTCCATGGCTGATGCTTTTGGGGGTACACTGAAAGTTTGAATTCCCATGTTTTTCGATGGCAAGGAGAGCAGGAGAGCAAGAAAATACGCAACGGATCTTCTGTACCACACCCTGTCTCACATCCTGTCCCACTCCTTAGAATCTCGCCAAGTGTCCCTTAATAAACCAAACCCTCAAACAACCCAACTCGAACCATATTAAGTTAATTAATCGATTAACCAGGCAAAGAAACTTTAACCAGGCAACAGCGCTACTCCTATTTTTTTCGCAACGGATCTTCTGTACCACACCCTGTCTCACATCCTGTCCCACTTCTTAGAATCTCGCCAAGTGTCCCTTAATAAACCAAACCCTCAAACAACCCAACTCGAACCATATTAAGTTAATTAATCGATTAACCAGGCAAAGAAACTTAATCTCTTTAACCAATACAACCAAAACCAAGAAAAATAAAAACTCTTTAACCAAAATCACAATTTATCAACGGAAAAAGCCCTAAAACCCAAACAACCTCTGTCCCCTTCATCATCTTCACCATTCAGCTTTGACGAAATATTCACGGATATGGTCCGAGATGCCGAAAAGGGTTTGCACGAAGATGCATTGGCATTGCACATGAGAGACAACTTTTTTACGAGGATGAGATAAAGCGTCGAAGCTCTTCCCAAAGGTGAGAAACAACTTATTTCTTAAAAACCTTGGTGGGTTTCTTCGAAGCTCTTTCTTATGGTAGAAATATATTTAGTTTTAGTGTAAATTTGTACTGGGTAATGGGTACTTCCGCTTCCGAAAAAAATTTTGTTTTTGGATGCAAAGTTAATTTAGCTTTTGTTGTTTGCGTCAAAGGTCATCAGATTATGTGTTCTCAATGGGCAATTGGACGAAGCTCACCACCTGTTCGATCAAATGCCTAAGAGGAAGATGAATCAAACTGTAAGGTAAACGATGAACCAAAACAGGCTATTTGTACGGTGAAAATATGGGTTGTTTGATAAAAAAACTCATCAGATTATGTGCTCTCAATGGGCAATTGGACGAAGCTCACCACCTGTTCGATCAAATGCCTAAGTGTCATGAATCAGCTTTTCTGTGGAATTCACTGATAGCCCCCTATGCCGAAAAGGGTTTGCACGAAGATGCGTTAGGTTTGCTCCGAAAAGGGTTATGCCAAAACTCAGTTGTAGACAGCATTTGGAGAACATTCTCCTTGCTGAGTTGTGTTGATGATGAAGTTATATCAGTTCTTATGTTTCTCTTGTTTGGCAGATATCTGAAATCCCAAAGTTAACTTCTGGTTGCTTGTTTTGTTGGTATAATTGCAAGCTTTATGGTAGTCTTGTTATTACATTTTATCAACTTCTATATGACAATAGTATTTTGGATAAAGTGCAGGTCATCATCAAACTTTTCAAAAGTCTCGTTCACCCATTCAACTATTTTTTTTATTTTTTTTTTATCAAATAGCCCATCGAACTCTTAAAATGATTCATATTACCCTTTATGCTAAGGTATGCTATGAAAACTAACAGAACTTATGCACGTGAATGGACATTTCCATCATTTGCCCGTTGCACTATTTTGTACTCCATTCTTTGTTACAGGTGGTTTTGACGGTCAATCTATACAAGACAGGATTGTTCATTTGTTAATAAAGTATGCAAAGCAGAAATGGCTCATTTGCTAACAGAGTATTCTTTGAAGAGGCAATAAAGATTGATCAAAAACCACAAATATAGTCTCTGAGTTGTGTTGATGATAAAGTTATATTAGGTCATATGTTTCTCTTGTTTGGCAAATATCTGAAATCTCAAAGTCAACTTCTGGTTGCTCTGGGTTCGTTGACTTTGCAGAACAAATATTGGAGAAGAGGAAGATGAACCAAACTCTTCTGGCAAACCATTGTACTTTGCTTGACTTGCTTGAAATTCCTCGGCTGATGGACACGTATGTCTTTGACCACGTTGTAAAATAATACAATAAATTCAATTAATGGTCTCTGTTCGGAATTAATATTTACTAACCTATGCTACAAGCAGATCAAATAAGTTCAATTAATGCAATAAATTCAATTAATTCCTTTCGCTCTCTAGTGTTTTTTTTTCTATGTGAACCGTGAAAGTGTTCAACTTGGCCACTCAACAAATAGTATACCAGAAAATGGTCGTTTATTCCCAGCATGTCGCTTGATTCAAATCATCTCAAAGCTAGAGATGGAAAGTGGGCATCTTGTTGAGATATACTGCAGAATTTTATTTTCTTCACTAGTGGAAGGAATAATGCATAACTAGAAATGATCTCAAAGCTAGAGATGCAAGTGCAGTTTGCTAAATTCCAGTGTTGCAGTATAACCACTACGTCCCTCAAACAATGAGAAGCAACAATCTTCCCATGCCAAAACAGAGCGGAAAACATGCAGTTTAATTGTTTTCCATCAAAGATGCACCTTCCCGGACACTGTTTGTTGCCCGACTATGCCTTGGATCCTTGCCAATTAAGTCAATGCCGCCAACTTGTTCACCAACCCATTAGATGAAAAGGATCTTCAAAAGATATGGAAAGAGTCAGAAATCGAGTAAGATGCTGAAACTTCTCTTTCACTGTGTCAAATGTCTCTGCTGCAAAGCGTATTTGACAACTTCATAAAATGAAACAACAATCCCCACTGAAGGGCCTGCCCGGGCCACTCGAGGACCAACTCCTGTAAAAAGTCCCTTTATCCCTCCATCCCTGTTACAAAGTCACGATGAGTTAGAATAGGCCAAAAAGGACAAGAACCAAGGATTATATTGATAAAAAATATTTGAAGCATATACACCAAAAAATTTAGATAAGAAAGCAATGCTAGTTTCTCATTCTTAAATTCGGTTGCTGAGAACAAAAATAAAGCCTGTAGAAACAAATTCTTAGACATGAGATTTTACAAATTCAGGCCTGGATACACTTAGTTGGCATTATGGACCAGTATCACTAAGAAAACAATAAAAAAATAGAACTCATTTCCTACAAAGCTCAATCCCAGTCTGAACCTTCTTTAATCATTTTACCAAATTTTTGTGTTTAACCATTTATACATATCATCCGAATATGCAAACCTTAGATGAAACAGAACCTGCAAGTTATACCTCCATATCTCAAGCAATGTTTGTCTTGTGGTCATGAAATCCCAAGAAAGGTAAATGTGCTATTTTTACCTTACAGTTTGATTCATCTTCCTCTTAGGCATTTGATCGAACAGGTGGTGAGCTTCGTCCAATTGCCCATTGAGAGCACATAATCTGATGACCTTTGACGCAAACAACAAAAGCTAAATTAACTTTGCATCCAAAAACAAAACTTTTTTTGGAAGCGGAAGTACCCATTACCCAGTACAAATTTACACTAAAACTAAATATATTTCTACCATAAGAAAGAGCTTCGAAGAAACCCACCAAGGTTTTTAAGAAATAAGTTGTTTCTCACCTTTGGGAAGAGCTTCGACGCTTTATCTCATCCTCGTAAAAAAGTTGTTTCTCATGTGCAATGCCAATGCATCTTCGTGCAAACCCTTTTCGGCATCTCGGACCATATCCGTGAATATTTCGTCAAAGCTGAATGGTGAAGATGATGAAGGGGACAGAGGTTGTTTGGGTTTTAGGGTTTTCTCCGTTGATAAATGTGATTTTGGTTAAAGAATTTTTATTTTTCTTGGTTTTGGTTGTATTGGTTAAAGAGATTAAAGTTTCTTTGCCTGGTTAATCGATTAATTAACTTAATATGGTTCGAGTTGGGTTGTTTGAGGGTTTGGTTTATTAAGGGACACTTGGCGAGATTCTAAGGAGTGGGACAGGATGTGAGACAGGGTGTGGTACAAAAGATCCGTTGCGAAAAAAATAGGAGTAGCGCTGTTGCACTTGATTCTAATGGTGTTAATTTTCACTTACTTAACATCAAATAACTAGATGCTTAACTCAAAATGATCATGGCCCTTTCTCATAAATGTAACACTCATCGCATGTCTATCTAAGAGTGATGGGAGGCAAGGTTCAAACCTTGCCTTCCAACCCCACCTAAGCCTGTCAAAGGTCCGGGTCTAGATTCGGATCCGTCAAATTATTCCGGGTATGGGTAGGGATATAATTTTGGGATCCGGATCTGTTTTGTCAAACAAAAAAATGGATCGGATACGGAATGTGGTATTCCGACCCGTATTAGACCCAAACCTGAATATAAATTGATTAAGAATTTAATATATATATATTTATTAATATAATATCCCAAATTTACTTCTCTACCTATTATTTTTAAAATATATAATTTTTTCGAGTAGGCCGGACCAGGATCCGAGACCCGTCAAATCTGGTTCCGGGAGAAAGAATAGAAGACCCGTCGGGTATCCGGGTCAGATCCGGAATGGGTATAGTATAACGGGTCTGAGTCCGAATTTATTAATTTCGGCCCAGACCCAACTCGTTGACAGGCCTAACCCCACCAAGCCTTAAAGGCTTAGTGGTGACCAACAGTCCAAAGGCTGTTTATAGTGTCGGTTATTTGTTCCCATATTAAAATTTGTTTGTCTTTTGCATAATAGCTTTGTGAGTTGAATTTACTCCTGTATTAATCAATTTTTTACAGGGGTGTTAAAGGTTTCAATTTATGAGAACTTGTTGTTAGTGCCACAAAAGCCTGTTGTGTATCGCATAGTTTTCAATTGCTTGTAACTTCGTAGTAACCACTGTATCCAAAACATATCTAGTATGATTTAAAATTTATATTACTAAAAAACAAAAGTTCAACGGCTTTATAATGGCAAAAAATTTCATGTACAAATAGTTTGTGCTTTTTGTACACTACTAATGTGTACATGCACCCCAAAAACTTTTTTCACAATTTTGAGTCATGGAATTTTGTGGCCCTAACTGGTATATCAATGACTAATTTTATGGGTAAATGAAATCTAATGCAGAATCCCCACCATGTCTATGATAGTTAGATGAATTAAGAATTAAAGTCAAACTAATACCCAACCCAACCGAACACCTCACTGCCACCTAATGTGGGTGGTGTAGCATATAATAATAATAAAAAAAAAAAACCAAACGAACACCTCACGGAGATAGAAATTCGAGAGTGACAATTATCCTTTGATTGAAGTAAAGGAGAAAAAAAAGAGTTAAGCTTGGCTAGTAATAATTTACTTAAGAGTATTTCAGGGGTCAAACTTATAGGGACGAATTATTCAGGGGTCAAACTTATAGGGATGAATTAACTTTCTCTACTTTAATTATTATAGAAAAATAATAAAATTCAAAGTTAAAAAGGTTTAATCTCTAATTAAGAAATAAAATAAATAAACCATACAAATAAAGTATAATTTAGAAAAAAATTGGCAAGATACTAGAGTTTGAATTAATTATCTAATTATTTTCTTAGCATACTAGGAACGTATCACATAGGTGTACTTTAGATTATCTCTTGATCCATCTAATAAGTGCTCAATTAAGTCTCGCGTCTCTGTCAATGCATTTAAAATAACTAGATTATCTAGTCATTTCTTAACATCATTTTAATTACGTCATACAAACCATAAACTACTCTCCTGTTTAGGCTAAACATAGGTTAAGTATCTTCATATATGAACCCTAAAAGCATGTCTATGGTGGCCAAATATAAACACGTACTTAAAACAAGATGGATAAATCAAGGCAAAAGTCAATAATTTAACTTGAATATACAATCAAACCTCTTTCACAAAATCCTAACCCTAAAAAATTAGTTCAATATGGTAAGATTAAACAAGAATTCAATATTAAAACTACATGACTTGGAATAAAGAGTAAGAGGGACTTCTCAGTTGATGCCGTCTCCAAATCCCGTGCCTAGATCCTTAATCTTGATTCTTGAATCTCGCACTAGAAGCCCTAAAACTAATGTTTAGATATGTGTTCTCTGTCTAAAAATGTCCCAAAGTACTCCCTATTTTTAAGTTGCTAAAGTCTCCATTAGATCCCAAAAGAAACAGGCTTCTTAAAGTTGAAAAAAAAAGCCCACGTGATTTTCCAATAATGTCTGCCACCAAGTCCGGTAAGAACTAAGAAGACCGACGTCGAACATGCCTTGAGTTGAGACCAAATATTAATGCAGCTCCAGAACACAACAGGTGACGAGTCCGGCAGCGGACTGCGAGCAACTATTCTTCACAATTCGATTTTTCACTCCCCGCTCGCATTTCACGCACAACTTGCATCCATTCTTCTTCAAGTTCAATCTTCCTCCGATAAAACAGCTATATCACTAAATTAGGTAATTTCTACCCTCCTTAGA